AATAGTGAGAGGTTTCATCAATCCAGGATAATATGTCTTTCTTCAAGCTGTCTGAAACCCTCTGCGCGACATCAATAGATGAAGACAAAATATCAGAGCTGACCCTCAGACAGACCAAACAAGCCATGACTCATAACTTTATCCATCTGATTGACTGTTTACCTCTTTATCCATTTGCTTTCTCGCTCCTTCTCTCATCGTGCTAAAGGACGTGCCATTTGTATCCCGAACAGTCGCGGCACCTGCAGCTGTGTGTCAGACACTATAATTCATCATCCTTAAGGAGTCACACGTCTTTCTCAGGACAGCATCTGCTGTAACTGCCAAAACCAGACAGAGAGAAACACGGCTCTTTCAACAGAGACCGAACGATTGAATGAGACCTAACAGCTTTCAACAGCGCTAATGATACACTGCTGTATTGGCCAGGATAATTAATCGGCCAATTTCCTGGACAATTTGAGGTTATCGCATCAGCTGTTAACCACACCGGCTTGACCGATTAACAGAAGTGTTAGTTTCTACTTGTGCCAGTTGTGAAATATACCAGCAGTCCCGTCAATGAATAATAACCATTTTTGTTTGATGTTTTGAGTGCATTTTAAGTGAATATTGTGTAGCATAATATTCCAAATGCCATGTAAGTCTCATTTGTCCTCATTATGTTTTGTATATTGGCATTATATCTTAATGTTATAGGTGCAGACATTGATTTCTAGAGAGCAGGATGCCTGAAGGCGATATAATACAACTTAAAGGACTAGTTCACCCAAAAATGAAAATATCCTTACCCTCAGGCCATCCTGCAGGCGAGTTTGTTTCTCATCAGCTTTGGAGAAATGTAGCATTGCATCAGTGTCTCAGCAATGGATGCTCTGCAGTGAATGGGTGCCGTCAGAATGAGAGTCCAAACAGCTGATAAAAACATCACAATAATCCACACCACTCCAGTCCATCAGTTAACATCCTTTGTAGTGAAAATCTGTGTGTTTGTAAGAAACAAATCTTAACATTAAGATGTTTTTAACTTCAAACAGTTGCTTCCAGCTAAAAGAAGAGTCCATAATCATGCTTTCTCCAGTGGAAAAGTCCATCTCCTGTTGTCTCATGTCAAAATCCACTGAGATATTTGTTTAGAGCTGTTTTGGACTGTTTTCACTTATAAACTGCACTTGATACGTGCAGATTTCTCTCCTGATTCAGGCCAGACATCTTAATATTCGATTTGTTTCTTACAAACACACAGCTTTTGGTGTCTCAGCAGTGGATGCTCTGCAGTGAATGGGTGCCGTCAGAATGAGAGTCCAAACAGCTGATAAAAACATCACAATAATCCACACCACTCCAGTCCATCAGTTAACATCCTTTGTAGTGAAAATCTGTGTGTTGTAAGAAACAAATCTTAACATTAAGATGTTTTTAACTTCAAACAGTTGCTTCCAGCTAAAAGAAGAGTCCATAATCATGCTTTCTCCAGTGGAAAAGTCCATCTCCTGTTGTCTCATGTCAAAATCCACTGAGATATTTGTTTACAGCTGTTTTGGACTGTTTTCACTTATAAACTGCACTTGATACGTGCAGATTTCTCTCCTGATTCAGGCCAGACATCTTAATATTCGATTTGTTTCTTACAAACACACAGCTTTTGGCTTCACATGACCTTAACTGATGGACTGGAGTGGTGTGGATTATTGTTTTGTTTTTATCAGCTGTTTGGACTCTCATTCTGACGGCACCCATTCACTGCAGAGCACCCATTGCTGAGCAAGTGATTTACAGTAATGCAACATTTCTCCAAATCTGATGAAAAAACAAAGGGGAACTAAAACTTGTATTAATTGGACACAGTTGTTGCCAGATAATCTCAAATGAGCCACATATTGGCTAATTAGCTTGCCTAGTTAATACATAATAGTACATTTGTGGAAATATTGTGTGAAATACTTGGTTCCAGCCTTTTTTGTACATCACATTTTCTCATTAAGTTGTACTGTGTGTGTGTGTGTGTGTGTGTATATATATATATATCTGCATTATCATCCATTACAACAGCACTAACAGACTTCACCTCTCAACAAGCATTCAAAAACAAACTGCTGATATCATAAAAACTTATGATGGGTTTTATATCCAAACACAAGCAGCACACCAGAAAGGAAGAAAAGAACATCTACTAGATATCTAAGCTTACAGTAACGCAACATTTCTCCAAATCTGATGAAAAAACAAGGGGGAACTAAAACTTGTATTAATTGGACACAGTTGTTGCCAGATAAATCTCAAACGAGCCACATATTGGCTAATTAGCTTGCATAGTTAATACATAATAGTACATTTGTGGAAATATTGTGTGAAATACTTGGTTCCAGCCTTTTTTGTACATCACATTTTCTCATTAAGTTGTACTGTGTGTGTTTGTGTGTGTGTGTGTATATATATATATATCTGCATTATCCATTACAACAGCACTAACACACTTCACCTCTCAACAAGCATTCAAAAACAAACTGCTGATATCATAAAAACTTATGATGGGTTTTATATCCAAACACAAGCAGCACACCAGAAAGGAAGAAAAGAACATCTACTAGATATCTAAGCATACATCAAATCATTCACATTCACATAGATGCAGAGCATCTGAGTGACCTCAACGACCTAGAATGATCAACTGGTTGATTCCAATGAACAACTTACAAAATTATTGCACTATTGACAGCTAAAACCCCCAAAACCTACATATTCCAGCTTTATTTGAGCATTTAAAGGTCGCCTGTCCGGTGTCCTTTAGGACAAGGAACCTCAGGCCACATCTCGTGGAACCAAACGCTGATCCAGCATGTGTTTGAATATGACATTCTCCCAGGACTGACTGCAATGTTTCTGCATGCTGCATGCAACAGCATGGCAATGCATCAGGACATCAGCTGCGTGTAAAAGCCAGCAGACACGCATGAAACAAGAGAAACTCTTACCGGAGGTTCAGGTGGCTGTATGGATGGAGGAATGCGGGTCTGCTGCTGGTGTGTTAATGCAGTCCGCATGCACTCAGCAGCATCATCATCATCTTCACCATCATCATCCTCAAGAGGCTCAGTCTGGGTTTGTGTGGACAGTCCCGCTGGCGGTGCTGAAGTGGACAGCTCCTCGACTCTGTCTTGATGGCATTATTCTTTATCTTCTTAATATTCCTATTAGTAATAATAATTAAAAACAAAAAACTTTAAAGTAAGGCTTACAATTAGCCTGGTATACCGTTTAAAGGCTAGCTCAAAGCATTTAAACGGTCATTCAGTAGCAACGAAAATAACATGCCGACAAGACAGAGAAAATCCTGTGAAATATAATTAACAAGACATAAATAGTTTTCCCTACAACTTGAGTAAAAATAAATATTATGACAATTTACTGTGTGGTCCGCTAAGCCCCGCCCGGTTTCATGTTAATCGCCATTCTCTCTTCTCGCTCTAATTCTGTGCAGTATGCAGTGCGTTAGTGTTCCAGTATAGACGCAGCGCGCATGCTCAGTGCTCGCGTGCTGAGATTACCGACAGGTGTGAGGAGTTCTTCAGGTTGAGTCTCAGGAGGAAAACAAACCCCAAACAACCGCCTGTGATCCCAAATTACTAAAGTGGGTCTATGAAAATAAAGGGTAAAGAGACGTTTATTACACTAGAAGTGATTTGTTTCTGATACTGAAAAATACAGAAGATCTGAAAGACCCATTTTTGAGGAGAATGTATAGGCACAAATAAATATAACAAAATATGTACAGTTGGATGCGGTTATACTTTTTTCTGTATTTGGGCTATTTACTTTTAACTACTTTTTTTTTGCAGATCATAGAAATAAATTTAAAAAAATAGATTTTGTGATTTTTACAGAAATTTTTTTTTGACATGCTATTTGTACAAGAGATGCTACAATTACTCCTATATAGTATAAATGTGAATTCGATGAGACTATTGCAATGTCAATTTTTATGCATACATTTTCTTTCCTTAAATTTGATTTTAAATCAACATTTTTTATTTTCTATTTGTCTTAACAAGCACTGCTTATGAAACGTGCTGAATAACAAACGGCAGATGCCTTTCAGATGCATATAAATTAAATCTGACTTCTATACACAATCCAGAACCGGGTTGAGTTTTAGGGCTCAACAGGGATAATAAAGCTATATGACTAATAATTATGTAATGCAGGTCATTAGGACACCACCTTCCTTCTATTCAACTGGATTTCCTTTGAGTAAAGACACGGCACATGGAGTTTCAGGATTCAAGCAGGGCTTCTGTGTATAAATCAAAAGTAAATCTCCTTTTCTTGGCACCAGGAGCAGCATTTGAACCTGTGCAAGATTTCAAGTCAAACTCCTCGGCATCTCTGCCTTCCTAACTATGATCCAAACCCATTCAAACCATAAAAATAAAGAGTTTTCAACATTAAAACCCATGCTTTACAGAAACAGTATTTGTAAATCAATGCAAATTTCCACTTTCATCCTACAATTAATAAAAGCCATTCATCCATCCGAAAGCATAGGCAACACTGCCCTCTGCTGGTTAAATAGCGTGATGAAGTTAGAGTTAAAAGGTTAAAACATCTTATTTTTTTTAAGAAATAGTTCAACCGAAAGTGAAAATTTGCTAAAAAAAATTTACTCACCTTTGGTCCGTCCAATAGTTTGTTTTTTCACAGGAACATATTTAGAGAAATGTAGCATTGCATCACCGTCTCATCAATGGATGCTCTGCAGTGAATGGGTGCCGTCAGAATGAGAGTCCAAACAGCTGATAAAAACATCACAATAATCCACAGCACTCCAGTCCATCAGTTAACGTCTTGAGTGTGTTTGTAAGAAACAAATTCATTCTGACGGCACCCATTCACGAGCAAGTGATGCAATGCTAAATTTCTCCAAATCTGATGAAGAAACAAACTCATCTACATCTTGAATAACCTGAAGATTTCCAGCAAATGTTCATTTTTGGGTCAACTACTGCATTAACATACCATGTGATCCAAGTAAGACCAGATAATATTTCAAAGCATCGTATTGCATAAGACTTTATACTTTCTCAGCAATTTGCATAAAACATTTATGCACTTAATTCACAACCACACATTTCCAGAATTATACAAAAGCAAAGCACATTAAAGCACAGTGCATGTGCAAAAATCATATACCATCGTGATATTGTTAAAATGTGGAATAATTATCCAAGAACTTTTTTTTTTATGCTACAGTATCTTGATACTCCTTGAAATACTCATAAAGCAACAAATACAGAGCTCCTAAAAGTCCTCCAGCATACAAAATAAGCACATTGTGATAGCCAACCACATACAGACCTGGCCACACTTTATAAATGTTTCACTTCTGTAAATTTAGGATCTTGATGAAATATTATGAATGCAACATACAGAGAAACAGCAAAAAGTCCAATTTGATAACAATATTAAATATACCATAAGATTTGTCTTATTTAAACAATGCAACCCTGTGAAGTAAATCAGAACCAATATTGATTTTCCAGCTTTAATCCTTTTCACACTGAGGTTTCAAAGAGCATATGAATCAATATCCATACGAGTCACATTTAAATAAAAATCTATAATGTATATAGATTCCTATATACATAATGTAGTATAGTTCCTAAACATGATGCCATTCTTATCTATTATTAGATTAATGTGAATTAAATCAACACCGAGCTCTAAATATGCCAGTTTGCTTCTGTAAAACACGATTTGATAGCACTCTGGAATTATTTCAAGGAAGATCTGCGTTCTCGTTTACAGATTTGTCTAACGAAGCCGAGAGAAAACCTGATGGTCCAGTAAAGCTGAAGGACTGTAATGTTCAGATGTACTGCAAATATTTCAGTATTTCATAAGTGCAAAATGACACATCTTTTGGTTCCTGCATGAAAACAGAAAGCTGCTTCAATAAGAACTTCCTTCTAATGATTATCATAAATACCTTTAACAATGGGACCAGATTGGCTCGAGTCGTCATTCTGAAAGCCTGCAGCTTGCTTTCAAACCAAAGAAAGTTTCTTAATTGCTAAAATACACTGAAACAATCAAGCACGTGAAATGTGGATTTGTTGTTGTGTCTTCTGTGATATTGCATTGGAGTAAAAGTGTGTCGTTTCAAAAGTCGGCCTTCCAGAGTAAGATCGTGGATGAGAGAGGACCTATGAAACAAAACATACATTTCACACAGGCTTCCACTAACTTAACTACATTAATATAAAATGCTTTTTGGAGATCGGAAACATAGGTTAGCTTTGAGTTCATTGCCAGTTCTGATCTGGTACCTCACCTCTTCTGGACTGTTGTGCTAAATCTGCAGGTTAATGAAGGGAGCGAATCCCACCACGTCCTGCAGCAGCACTAGCGCCCTCTGCAGGGGAGGCTCCACATCGATGTCCACATTACGCCGGCGCAGAGCGCCCAGACTGGACTCGGTTACGTTGTGACAGTGGTTCACCTTGAGAGACTGCAGTTTGGGGCAGTACTCTGCTAACGTCCTGAACACAGATAAACAAAAGTTATTGAAAAGCTTGGTTTGCAGGAAATGCTGCTCCACATTAATCGTCTTGATGAGGGCTCTGAGTTTGGGTCGCTTATAATGTGCAACATGCACCAAACAACTTCCCAAATTTGTAGTAACAAGTGTTTATAAATGGACGCTTGTCAGCTAAGCTTTAAACCCTATTTGCGGTTTTCTGCTAAAATTAACTCTTGATGGCACATTTGAAAATTAAGAAATACAGCCATAAATCTTAGTGTTGTCATTTTACAGTTGTACTGTGAAATAAAATCATTGTATCTCAAAAATATATTTATTTTACAGAGAAATAGCAATATTTCTGATTTTGTTTCATATTTTGATTTATAATAATAATAATAATAAAGCAATAAACAGAATTGTTTTTATTTTACTGTCATATAATACATTTTCTTAAATAATTTGTTTTATTTTACAGTAAAGTTTTACAATAGTAGTATTTCTTATTTATTGGCATTTTAATTTATTAATAATAATACTAAACATACAATAAATAATGATAGTAATTCGTATTATTGCTACTAAATTAGTTTTCTTAGTACTTCAATTTAGTAATCGTAACAACAATCATTATTTCTATTATTATTATAATACTATTATTATTAATTTTTAGTCATATACAAATAATCACTACATTTATGGTCAAATTTTGCAGTCTTACAAACAAGCAGGACCTACAGTATAAAAATAATAAAAATAACAATAATAATAATAATACTAAAATAAAAATCTGTAGTAATAATAATAACGATTTTATTAAATTTTGCAGTCTTATAAACAAGCAGGAACTATAATAATAATAACAAATAAAAATCTGTAATAATAACAATAATTATTATTAAATTACATATTTTTAGAACCTAAATTTAGTTACATTTAATAATCTATCTATCTTATTCTTGGCCAAACTGAGCTGCTGTTTTTATTTTATTTTTTATAAATTGCAATTCGTTTTTTTCCCCCCGGCAGTGTTTAATTTTTACCTAAATCATGCATTCCTAATCAGATATGCGCTTTAAAACCGACTGCATGTCATCCACAAACACCCGCCGCACCTGATGGCTTCGTTTCTCACTCGCAGGCACCCAGTGAGGTCCAGCCTCTCCAGCTCTCTGCACTTTTTGGCCACCTCCTCCACCGCGGTGTCCGTGATGTTGGCGTTAACAGCCACGGAGAGCGAGCGCAGCGCCGGACACTTCCCCGCCAGGTAGCACACGGCCTCGTCCTTCAGCTGTCTGCAGGCGGTGACGTCCAGCGAGCGCAGGTCCGAGCAGTGATCGGCCAGGCTGCGCAGCGCCAGACTGTCCACCCACTCGCAGTGCTCCAGGCTCAGGTGCTGCAGCCGCGGGCAGCTCAGAGACACGGCCACCAGCGCGTGACGGCTCAGGTGAACGCAGCCGTGCATGTCCACACGCAGAAGGTGCTGGTTCTGACCAATCACCGGCAGCAGCTCTTTGTCCGTGATCCAATCGGAGCAGTTGCTGACGCAGAGGTGGTGGAGAACTTGGTTGTGGCGAAGCATTGAGCAAAAGGCTTCTTTAGGAATGTGAGGCCCCGTCTGAGGAGAAACACAGGAACGACAGTATGCAAGATTGATGAAAAAGAGAATACTTGCCCAACATTCCAGCAGCCTTGGATCTGAAATGCTGGTACAATGTAAAACTACTGATATACTGATGCACACGTTACATACAGTTCTCTCAGAAGTTTGTCAGTACCTTTTTTTTTCTCTATATTCACTATTATATTATATTATTGTTAATTCCACAAATTTCAAATATGTGACCCTGGAGCACAAAAGCAGTCTTAAGTCGCTGGGGTATATTTGTAATACATTGTATGGGTCAAAATTATCCATTTATTTTTTATGCCAAAAATCATTAGGATATTAAGTAAAGATCATGTTCCATGAAGATATTTAGTAAATTTCCTACCGTAAATATATTAAATCTTAATTTTTGATTAGTAATATGCATTGCTAAGAACTTCATTTGGATAACTTTAAACATGATTTTCTCAATATTTAGATTTTTTTGCACCCTCAGATTCCAGATTTTCAAATAGTTGTATCTCGATCAAATATTGTCCTATCCTAACAAACCATACATCAATGGAAGCTTATTTATTCAGCTTTCAGGTGATGTATACATCTCAATTTATAACACACATATACAAATTAGGTATACAGCATAGCAGCAATATTAAAAATCAGGTCAATACACACAAACTTATAATTATTTTGATAACCAATAAATAGCAGATATTAAAATTACAATAAAAAACTATATATTTTCTCTAAATAAACAAAAAATAACACAAAAAAACTAATTCAGTTGCTTTTAACGCTGCAAGTTAATTTGGGTATAACAACATTATAATGTACAGTATGGAAAATGGATATTAATTTGAACAGTTTAATGAACGTTTTTTAAATTATTCACTTTAAATGAGTGTTAGATGATGACACATTAGCAAACACAAAACCAACAGGAACTGATGCTGTTAAAAATTAAAACACTTCTAATATCAGCCAATATTTGATCCGGAACTGATAAAGTTTGGGGTCTTTTTTGTTGTTGAAAGAAATTCATTTTTTATTCAGTAACTATCATTTATAATACACAGCAAAACATCACAGGAATAGATTACATTTAAAATATATTCACATAGAAAACAGATATTTAAGTTGTAATGATATTTCACAATATTACCATTTTTACTGTATTCTTGATCAAATAATGCAGCTTTGGTAAACAGAGACTTCTTAAACATTTACTGACCCTAAACATTTGAGTGGTAGTATGGTGCATCCCTAATACAAATATATACGTAGTTTGAGAGGAACACAGACTTATACACAGCAAGAACACTTGTGCATTTCATCTGAAAGTTAAATACTATAGGTACACAAGTGTTTTTTCCCTCACCTGTGCAGGGTCAAACTTCCGGCAGTTGGCCAGATACACCTGGATGAGAGAACGAAAGCTCTTGCTGACGCACTGTAAGCTGACCAGGTGACGCAGCGGCAGGTAACAGAACACGTGTGTAACTAACACATCCTCCCACGGCAGGTCCAGCAGCTGACATCTGTCACAAAACACACACCTCGATCACAAATCTGCTCAGCAATGGGTGCTCTGCAGTGAATGGGTGCCGTCAGAATGAGAGTCCTATCAGCTGATAAAAACCTCACAATAATCCACAGCACTCCAGTCCATCGATCACAAATCTGCTCAGCAATGGGTGCTCTGCAGTGAATGGGTGCCGTCAGAATGAGAGTCCTATCAGCTGATAAAAACCTCACAATAATCCACAGCACTCCAGTCCATCAGTTAACGTCTTGTGAAGTGAAAAGCTGCATGTTTATAAGAAAGAAATCATTAAGGCGTTTCAACTTCAAACCGCTGCTTCCGGCCAAAATATGAGTCCATAATAACGCTTCCTCCATTGAAAAGAAAAAAACATCTTGTCTGAATCAGGAGAGAAATCTGCACACAAGCACTGTTTACAAGCCAAAACAGCTGGAAACAAATATGTGGGTGGATTTTGATGTGAGAGACGACATGAGATGAACTTTTGCACTGGAGGAAGTGAGGAAGTGTCCAGAAATGACTATTTAAAGTCGTTTTTTTAAATTTTATCAGCTGTTTGGACTCTCATTCTGACGGCACCCATTCACTGCACAGCATCCATTGGTGAGCAAGTGATGGAATACTACATCTCTCCAAATCAGTTCCCATGAAGAAACAAACTCATCTACATCTAGGATGATCTGAGGGCGAGTAAATTCAGCAAATATTACATTTTTGGGAGAACTATTCCTTTAGCATGCATGCATGCATAGAAAACAACACAGCAACTGTCTTATGGACACACTGCTATAAACATGACAGCTAGTTTTAACATGCAGATGCACCCACTGTATCACAGAAAATCAGTATTTACTTATAGAAGTATAAAACACCTCATGTTGATCTGCTGCTTGCATGCATTTACAGGATGCATCTCTGTCTGTCTGTGCAAGCAAGTCAGCGAACTGAATCCGTGCACAAACTCCTGCATCTCTCTTTATGAAATATACCTGTGGCTTTGGCTTTGCGTGCATTCTTCAGGTTTTTGATCCATGCTGATACTGTCCTCTGATCCGAGCGCATTATTTATCATGATTGATAAACAGCTGACCGGCTCATCCGGGTTCTACGGATTCAATAATACGTGGGTGACTCACTGCTGCCATCTAACAACCTGGAAGAAGAAGGGATGCTGAAAAGATACATGTTATGGATGTAGACCAGGGGTGCCCAAACTCGGTCCTGGAGGGCCGGTGTCCTGCAGAGTTTAGCTCCAGCTTGCCTCAACACACCTGCCTTCAAGTCTCTAGTATGCCTATAAGAGCTTGATTAGCTGCTTCAGGTGTGTTTAATTGGGGTTGGAGCTAAACTCTTCAGGACACCGGCCCTCCAGGACCGAGTTTGGGCACCCCTGATGTAGACAGACTGAGACAGAGCCAAATGAATGCCAGACGGACTGATCGTTGTGTATGTATGTGTGATAAACAAGTCTTCAAACTTCTAAAAATGACTAAAGATAAAGTCTAGGGTGACCATACGTCCTCTTTTTCCCGAAATTGCCTCGGGTTTTCAGTTCCACAAAAATATTCAGCAGCACAAGTGTTTTCAACATTGCTAATAATCAGAAATGTTTCTTGAGCAGCAAATCAGCATATTAGAATGATTTCTGAAGATCATGTGACACTGAAGACTGGAGTAATGATGCTGAAAATACAGCTGCGCATCACAGAGATAAATTGCATTTTAAAATGCATTGAACTAGAAAAGAGTTATTTGAAATTGCAATAATATTTCACAATATTACTGCTTTTACTGTATTTTTGATCAAATAGCAGAAGAGCAGGAAAGCAGAAGAGCTGCTTTAAAATGTGAAGACTGTCAGTAATAAATCCACTACTCTTCCCAGAGGAGAACCATGCAACCCTGAATGCTTTGCAGACGAGGCTTCCTCCCAAAGCTCCCCATCTTCAGATGAACATCCTCTATACGCCTACCTGAAGGTACAGAACAGGCCACAGACTGGAAATGATCACTTCTAGGAAACTCTGCCGTTTGTTAACCCAGTCATTGGAGACATCAGGAAGCTCTCCCATTAAAGCCAATGACATCCGACGGAACTTTGAGAAGTTTCTCATCACCGCAGACGGAGTGCCCTACAAAAGGTGCCTAATTCAGAGTAATCTGCATTTCGTGTCCTAAACCCTACACAGATATGGTAGGGTTCAACAGAATGCCATGGTTGACCAGTCAGAGTGACGTATTTCATAAAGCAGTGTGATAAGTGAATACAATTAGCATCTGTAACTCTGCTGAGTTGTCTGTTTCAGGGATGATCCTCATTGTGCGTTTGAAGAGGTGGAGTGGGACATTGCAACGCTGCTGCAGGGAAGACATTTATCATAACCCATCCAACAGCAGCTCTCTGATTATGATTCAGCTCTGGATTCATTCAGATTCAACTGCTTCCTCTTTCCTAGATCCATTTAATGTGATTGATTGATTCAATCAGTCTGTCATGTTTGAGTGAATCTCACGAAACATGTCATGAAACGTATTTCACTTCGAAATCAATTGAAAAAATAAGGATAGATGTATCGTTTTTATTGTAGTATCTTTATTACCTTGTGCTTTCATGACAATTCATTATCAACATTTTCCCCCAAATTCTCATTGTTGTAAATTATATTTTATTTAAACTGTAAAGAATTGATATATTGTGGTGTTATTTGTTGTATTTATGCTGCTTTAATAAAAAAATGATGGCAGAATGTGTGTAGTTGTCATTAAAATAAATTCAACAACAATTTTACTAGTCTTAAAATGGACATGTTTAAAAATAAAAAAAGAATGAATGAAAGAAAGTAAAAAAAAAATATTTAAACCTTTTGATCTTTTATTGTAATTTCAGAAAAAATTATACATTATTTAAATAGTAAAAAATGTATACATTGTGGTAATATTTGTTATATTTATGCAAATTTTTCGGTCCAATAGCAAAAATAAATAAATAAATAAATTTAATTTAAATTAATCTTTAAAATATTAAAATAAATAAATATATATAAATATATATAAATGTATTTATTGAAAATATTTTAAATATTCTGACATTATTTTCAATTTCTCACTTCAAACAATCAATCAATCAATCAATCAACAGCTATTCATTATACAATTATAATTAAATGAATGAAGGAATGGTAATAAAATGCACATATAATTTTTAGGTGAACTATTCATTTGAGATAAAAATCCCATTCTTATATATATATATATATATATATATATATAAATAAATAAATATATAAAATGTTTAATTTAGGATCATTAATGTTTTCTGCAGTATTTTCAAATATCAAATTAGCCACACGGATTAAATAGAATCTTAATTATGAACTCTAAATAAATTAGAAAAGGTGAATAAATTATTTCAAATTGAGGTCGTGGCATGTATTCTCCACTAGATGTCAGTGTTGTACAGAGGTCAGACCACAGACTGCTTTAAACAGTTTAACTAACAGATTCATTTATTTAAACAGTAAGAAAACAAAAGAGATGTGCTTCTCAAAACAGAACAGAAAATCCATAGCATTTATAATAGTTAGAAGTATATCTTTAAATTGTGCAGCAGAATACAGTCATTCTCTTAATTATAGACTGTAAAATACAGTTACACATGTGTGAATACAGACTGGAGAACTCATACTACATGTGAAGCATGAAATCTGCTTCGTGGCCTTTGCTCGGGCCGCTGCTCTCCGCAGAGACAGACGCCTGATTTCCTGCTCTCTTAATTGCATCTGACTGTCGATTTGAGCTGCTTATAATGAGCTGCTCACTAAAGCACATGTTTTGGATGTTTCTGCTGTCACTACAGGAGCATTTGCATGTTTCTGGCAGGGAAATGTGTGGAATTACATTAAATGTACAGTAATTGTTCTCTTTGGTGAAATATCTCAATTGAACTGAAACGGCTGTAATTGCTTCATATGCCATCATGCAGGTCAGACAGTTCTGAATATTGGGCCTAACCTTGTGCGCTGTCATAATTTCTGCCATTATAATTAAGGCTTTTGAAAGCTGGCAGCGGTTCATTAGGGCTAAACTGTGTGTTTAGTGAGAATATGGAAGATTATAGATTTATTATACTTAACTAAAAATAAAACCACACACACACACACACACACACACACACACACACACACACACACACACCAGAGCCAATGATCAATCCTCACGTCTGACGCGTGATTTATGAATCCACAGCTGCCAATGCTGCTGCTTGAGTAATAGATATGTGTGTTTTAACAGAAAAAGGTTTCACGTAATATTTTAAGTGTTAAGCATACAACATAAACACCACCCCTCATGAAACAAAAATATATGGAAATATAATAGAAAATAATGTGATCCATAAAATATTACATTTCCATATACAGTATGGGAAAATCGTGCTTCTGAAAATATATGCTGCTATATATTCAGGGACCATGTATGGCTATATATATATTGATACATATTTAAAAAATGCACTACATTTTAACATGCAATAGCTTTATTGAAACACTTTTTTCTCCATTAAGAGTTAATGGGTTCACATAAAGCTGTTTGCTGAAAACAAATGTTGTATTTAAAATATATACAATATTTTATATTATGTTATTATATATTATAATTATATTAATAATTGATATATACATATAATATATAAATATGTTTTAATATTACAATTTTGGATTTTTAGACAATTGGATGTCTTGTTAAAATCATGGATTTGACATTTAAACCTTAATTTAAAGAGTGATTTATGTGCTATAAATACAAATACATCAATATATATATTTTTTCTCATAATCTAGTGCAAATATTGCACATACAAGTTCACATATAAATATGAATATATATGGTACATATATGTTTAAATATATTTACACACACAAAGTGCCATATTTTATTACATGTGCATCTATATATTATAAGGATATTATTCAAAATAAAATTACATCCATTGCAATATAAGTAAATTATAACAATCTATATAATTTAATATATAGATGGTTAAGAAAATATATTTTCTTTGCATAAGGGACTTGCTTTGATATAATGACATTGAGACATTTTAAAATGTGACTTCAGCATCTAAATGCTGTATTCTGCAATGATTTGCTCTGCAGGCTCATTTGTAGATGTGCTGTGCGTGTAATATGTTTCACATATTAAAAGAGTCTTGTTGCAGAAAGTGAAGGGCCCTGTAAAGGCAAATATCTGGCAGAGCTAAAAACCCAGTGAAGTTCATCCATCATCCGCGCTCCTCCTTACATTATCATTGATCTAAAAATAACATGCTGTTATTGTTATATCCCAGCAAGCAATTTCTTCGGAGTGATGGAGTACTGGCTCCGTCTGCCCTGCCGCAGTCCGTCTTCCTGTCAATAACATGGCACTTGTGCAAATCACGGATCAATCACGACTGATCTTTTGCTGGAAACATAATGCAGTCGACCCCTAAAGATGATATTTGGACTCCACTTGCTTTTTATTAGCATTAAAAATGATCTGATTTGTTCATTTCTTAGATAGATAGATAGATAGATAGATAGATAGATAGATAGATAGATAGATAGATAGATAGATAGATAGATAGATAGATAGATAGATAGATAGATAGATAGACAGATGATAGATAGATAGATAGATAGATAGATAGATAGATAGATAGATAGATAGATAGATAGATAGAGATTTTTTTCGAGTTTCACTCAAGTGTGTGACTGTTGGGAAGGAAAGCACAGAGCGATTCCTGTCAGACGAGAAGAAACATCTGGCGTGCATGTGGGCCGTCAGCTCTCGACTGGGTGTATTTAATAATATAATTATTTATTTGGTGCAAATTAATCAGTCTGCGTTTTTCATTTAATCTGTTAAGCACAGTTTACATACTGTAGTGTTGCTAATGTTTTTAGCATTTCTGTGAGCCTTGTCTTTTACATTCATTGTCAAAGAAACTTTGACAAAATCAGTTGGATTTCATACTTATTAGGAGTGCAAAATGATTCCTGAAATGCATAAATACTCACATGGAAGAAAAATCACAAAATAGATCTCTTTAATATCTTAA